CAGGAACCTTCCCACAGCAGCCTCTTGTATAGCTGTGTACTTCGCGACCAACGCCTTTGTGCCGAGATGCTGGTATGCATACTTTCGATACAATCGATGCGTGTGCGTGAAGCCTACGCCGGCCATCATATTGATCCAACCGCACCTGAGACAGAATCAGTCAGCCACGACAGATAGTGTGCAACTTGAAGCCTACATGTCGAATCCAAACTTCATCTTCGGTCTGCCCGAATGTATGTTCGCCCGCTTCTCCAGCAATTCGAAAGCTATTTTCTTGTCGTGAATGATGACCATCGTCTGCCCCATAACGGTGACTGAGCTGAGAGGTCCATATGCGTCCTTAAGCTTTAGCCAGTGCTGATACTCGGGCACTCCAGGTGGCGGCAAGTCGTTGACATTGCCGACGAGTGCGAGTCCCTTCGGTCCAGGTGGCAGTGGTCCATCATTTTGCTTGCTGTCGAAGAACCGTCGCTTGACGGCATACAAGATTGCTGCAACGAAGGCGAGCTGGATGAGGATTGGAATTGCCATCGTTGGTGCAATGTGATCAATTCGTTCAGTAATGTACGACCCCACGGGGAAGTGTAGAAGGACGAAAAAGACCTGAAGGGAAACATATACTTACCCTTACGCGCAGCTGAAGCCGCGCCCTGCATTGGGAAGCCGCTGTACCCGTGAACACAGACCCTTGAAAGCTGCATAATCACAAGAGCTCCTCGAGTAACAAGCATGAGAAGGTCGAAGGAGTGGTAGTTGCGCGACACAGTCGTACACTAGCGCGATCAACAGTCAGCAGACCGCATCCGGAGAGGATGTAGGGCGGGAAAAGGCGGAGTGCATCGTGACGACAGCCGCGCAGAGCTTCAGCTTCGCCGTCTCGAGTCTCGGCGATGCAAGTGATATTGGAAGAGCGACCTGGACTGTCAAGCACTGTGATCGGAGGAGTTCTGGATTTCATTTGCAACCTTGTGCCCTAGGGTAGTATTGTTGACCTTTGGCCGACGTGTGGTTCTGCTCGCATGCCTTTCATACTCCAGAGCCACTCTACTGGTAGCACCGTACGACCTCTTGATGCAACGCCATGCTGCCCCCATATCCTCTACTACCGCAGTGTCCAAACTCCGTATCTTACACCCTCTCTGACCCATCGTACACCACCCCCAACTCCCCACCACATTCCCTTCCACTATGCGTAGAAGTTCACAGTATCCTTCTTCTTCGCCTGCACCTCCGAGATGGCATCCACATAATGCTCGTGACTGATCTTGTTCATCCCGTTCCTCAGCGCGATCATGCCGGCCTCAACGCAGACAGCCTTCAACTGCGCACCACCAAACTCATCCGTACTTCTCGCCAGCTCCATCCAGTTGACACCCTCGTCAACCGTCATCTTCCTGCTGTGAATCCTCAGAATCTGCGCTCGAGCCTCCTCATTGGGAAGCGGGAACTCGATCTTCCTGTCCAGGCGTCCAGAACGCAATAACGCTGGGTCGAGCACATCAACTCTGTTCGTCGCAGCAAGCACCTTAATCCGCTCATCAGATGCGAAACCATCCAACTGATTCAGCAACTCCAACATCGTTCTCTGCACCTCGCGATCACCACTCTTGTCTGAATCGAATCGCTTCGTTCCAATAGCGTCGAGCTCGTCAATGAAGATGATTGCCGGAGCCTTCTCTTTCGCCAGTGCGAATGCGTCTCGGACCAACTTCGCACCGTCACCGATGAACATTTGCACGAGTTGCGGGCCAGCGAGTTTGAGGAAGGTAGCGTCGGTCTGGGCTGCGCAAGCGCGGGCGAGGAGGGTTTTGCCTGTCCCGGGTGGACCGTACATCAAAGCTCCTACACAAGTAATCAGTATTTCAGGACGCAAGAAACAGATACTGGGGACGCGCACCCTTGGGCGCCTTGATGCCGATCTTGGTGAAGCGCTCCGCCTCCTTCATCGGCCATACGACCGCCTCTACCAACTCCTCAATCTGCTTATCCAGTCCTCCAACATCTGTGTACTTCTCCGTTGGCTTCTCGTCCACCTCCATGGCCTTCACCCTGTTGTCATACTCTGCGGGCAGGGTATCAAGAATCAAGTACGAATCCTTATTCACACCGATCAGATCTCCGGGCTTCAGCTTATCGTGGTCCACCAACCCGATGAGAGGTAGGAAGATGGTTTGACGTGTCGAGGTTTTGATGACGGCGGATTTGCCAACGCGAGTGGCGTCCAGGTCGATGTTGGCGCCCTCTTCGGCGGCCTCCGCTGTGACATCCAGGTCGAGAATCTCAACAACGTTGCCTACCAAGTACGGAAGTTGTCTGAGCATATATGTTAGCCCAACCTCCCACACGTACTCATGCTAGCCTCACCTGTTGTTATCAATCTTCTCCACGTTATCCTTGATCTTGTCATGCATGCTCTGCTTCTCGTGTGACAGCCGCTGGAACTCGGACTTCATGATGCGCATATCGTTCTCCAGTAATCGCCGCCGGGCCACGATGTCGCGTGTGCTGGAGTTCAGGATCTCACTACCCAGAATGTCCTCGTCCGTTTCCTCCTTCTTCTCCTCGCCGTCTGCAGCATCCTTCATGTCTGCGTCGCCGCCGTTCTCCTTCTTCTTGTCGCCATCACCTTGATCGTCCTTCTTGCCCTCGCGCTCCAGATCATCGAGATCCTCGAGCGTGGACATGTTGGGCAATTGTTTGCAGGTATCGCTGGTGGGATATTGTCGAGGTTGTCCTGATGGTTAGGTGAGGTGCCGGTATGGAGTGTGTACTGCTATGTTGTGGTTGATGTTTGATGTTCGTGATCAGGCAAGGCGCGAAAGGCTGATGCAGCTCCGAGCTTGGACCAGCCGAAGATCCGCCTCTTTCCCAAATCTTACTTCCGACGGTCTGCTGCCTTCTGACAAAACAGCTTTGCATTGTACATAGCAGCGACCTAAACCTCTAGAATGTCCAGTCAAGTAGTAAGCCGATGCATTGTTAGCGCTGGTCGCAGGTCTGCCATACTGTCTTCGATTCGTATCCAGAACGATACTGACTGTTCTTGCAGGCAAACATGTATATACACTGCGAGACGGCATTACAATTCTGGAACAAAAAGTCGCGATGCTCCCCATGGTGCCGCTTCATCAGCGACGACCAGTTATGAACCTGCGGTCGCCAGACCCAAGTCACGCCCACACACATCAAACCCTCACCCCAAGACGAAATCCAAGACACCCGCCCGGGACAACGAACGCAACACCGATGACCCCGAGAACAGCATTGCCACGATATCCAGACGTATCGAAATCAGAGGCACCACCCCACTAGCTGGTTCCGCCTCTCAACACACGAACAAGGGCCAACCACCATTGATCGAGAACGGCGTGCTTTATGTTTTAGACCGAGGTGATCATGTCAAAGTTCCTGGCCGATGGGTCCGGGACATCTGTCCGTGTCCTCAATGCAGGAACCAGGACACAGCGCAACGGCAGATCAATGTTTTCCAAGCTGATTCGTCGAAGACGAGGGTCGCGAGTGCAGACATGAGTGAGTGGCCTAAACATGTCAAAGTTAAATTTGAGGACGGGCATGAAACCATAGTCAAGGGAGATGTGATTCTGGGTCGAAGATCGTATCCCTCAGCACGCGCACGGGAAGGCATTGTCGAGATCAAACCCTGGACTTCCTCCATCTCCGAGAACCCGCCAAGTGTAGAGTACGAAACCATCCAAGCTGGTCCTGGAATGGCCGTCCTGATGCAGAAGATCCGCACTCATGGCTTCGCCTTTGTAGACAACATGCCCGCTACCCCCGAGGCAACCCAAGCATTACTGGAAACCATCGGTCCCATCCGCAACACGCATTATGGAGGATTCTACGACTTTACCTCTGACCTCTCCTCAAAAGACACAGCTTACACCTCCGAAGCCTTGGAGCCGCATACAGACAACACCTACTTCACCGAGCCCGCTGGCCTGCAAGCACTGCACCTCCTCTCCCATACCGATGGGTCAGGAGGGGAGAGCTCGCTGGTAGATGGATTCGCAGCCGCCGAACAGTTGTTCAAGGAACATAATGGTGCCTACCTCCGCCTAAGCATGACAGGCGTCTACGCCCACGCCTCAGGAAACGACGGGATCTCGATCCAATCTTCTCAAGCTTTCCCTACGTTCACGCATAGCGAGCAGTATAACAAGCTCATTCAAGTCCGCTGGAATAATGCTGATCGGGCTGGAGTGGCGACGCCGTGGCCGCATTTGGATCGGTGGTATGATGCTGCTGGTAAGTTCGATTCGATACTCAATAATGAGAAGAATCAGTATTGGTTTCAATTGAAACCGGGAAGGATGCTTCTCTTTGACAATTGGCGATGTCTGCATGGCAGGAGTGCGTTCACTGGGAAGCGGAGGATGTGTGGGGGATATATTGGGAGGGACGACTATGTGTCGAGGTTTAGGACGACGAACTTGAGTAAAGAGGAGCTGGAGGCATCGACGGTGACGGGGTGAGGGATGCTGACGTGGACGGGTTGTATAAATGTGCCATATAATGGGAGTGGTCGGGGTCTTGTATGGCTGAAGTACCTTAAACTTAGACTAAGGCCTGCTGCAACAGAAATGCGAGGCTATCGTGAGATGTGAGGAATGCACGTCGCTCGAAATTGCTGTCCACGGTTCAGCATTTGTGGTTGCGGATAAGAGCGCCTGCACGTGAGTTGTCTGGGGGATCACCTCGATGAACGTGCCGCTCCAATGTGCATATCGTCTTCTGAATTCCTTCGTCGAAAAAGAAGTACCATGTGTCTCCATTGCTTGTGCACACTGTTATACAAGCATGACTCTGTCTACTAATGCTGCACAAAATGTTCTGTAGAAGTGCTAGAGCTGCTGCTCGTATGCCTTACAAATGGAGACCGAAGAGATATAGAAAGGTATTTCGTGCCTTCCTATTTGGGCCAAAATTGTCCTACCACCTCCATGCATGACCTTGGACCGTCCTAAGATGCAAAAGAAACACGACACCGATGGGACTCGAACCCACAATCTTTGCCAATCTACAATCAAGAAGGATATCTCGTTGCCGGAAAGCAACGCCTTACCATTAGGCCACGGTGCCTTGAATTCGGAGCAGGTACGCTCAAATCCGAGGCATAGGATCTCGTTTTCTCAACAAGAGTCGCCCTAGCAATATGGAGAAGCACAAATCCAGTGCTAATTCATATAGCTGTGTGCTGTGACCCGATGTAGATCCGCTTGGGTAGCACCTACAAATGGCCCCTCTTGCTCCACTACCTCCATACGTTGCATGGCAAACGTGTTATTACTACGACTACCGAAACCCAGGTGTGATGGGCGATGTGAAATGAAGGTACAATGTGCAGATTGATCTCAACAATATCGACTACACGCCACCGGAGGACAGCGGAGCAGGCAACAAAAATACGTACCGAGCTCGGCGTGTATTTGTTAGGCGGGGGCAGTGAGCCGTTGGGAGCCACGAGGCCTTCATGTGCCGGCAAGGCGGACGCTGCTGTCTATATTTGCGCGTGCCGATACGAGCTACAGCACATGTAGCCAAGTACACCGGACACCACCTCCGCCTTCGATCACAGCCGGCATCATCGTGATGATGCGGTACTTTACGTGAAATGAACCGGAAAGCGAGGCGGCCAAGCGAACGCTGGTGCTGTCTTTGTGGCAGCGCAGCCGACGCAAACAGCGTACACAGCGTCATCGCGTAGCAAAGTCGACCTGTACAGAGGTACGACAGGCTGCCGTCGAGCAATTGATTGGGGTTTGTCAGCTGCCTAGCAGGTGAGAGTGGTGTACACGTCGACTGGAGGAACGGAAGAGATGCAGAATTTTTGGTGTGAGCATTTTCGGGCCAATCCGCTCTCGGCTCTCGCGCGGAGTAATGAATCCATTATTCTTTCACCAACACCGTCACCTCTCCATCTCCTCCCATCCGCCTTCGCCTCCTCATCGCCGCGCAACTCCATCTCGCGGTGTTCTTTCCTTCGCACTCGGGAGCATCAGATCGGAGGGACGATTGACGTGCGACAGTGTGCTGGTCATCACCGGACGGCCCCTTACTACAAACTCCTACCTGGCAATTTCCGTCAGCCCGCAAGTGAGGACCGCTTCACGCGACCTTCACACGCTCTTTTTCGACCACCTGAGAGTCCGACATACACTGGCAGGCTCCAAGTGAACAGTGAAGGCTGCCGCGCGCGACCGTGTGCATCTCGCATTGCATACTAGGAAAGAGCTGCGCCTCTGCAACAAGCCACGCTTCAACTACGACATTCCTTCACGCATACAACATCGCAGCGCATCTACCTGATCACCACATCGCCTGATTCACCTAATCCGGATCTATTCACTTAGTCCTCCGGCAAAAGCGCAAACCTCACTCCGGCAACCTCACACCTGCAAAAGCCGGCACCTGAGATCTAAGACAAACCATCCGGATCTTCAACCTGCAAGCACAACACTCAAAACATATCCATCGACATCCGCGACACATCTATCACTGCATGATCGGCCAATAAAGTTCGCGCCTCTTTGTTCGGTGCGCTGAGCAGCAAGAAACGGTGGGTCATATTTGGAGTCAATTGCTCATCAGTGACTGACATACTCAACTAGGTCGTGTACGCACACCGTTTCTTCGCTAGTCACTACCTCCCGCAAATATGCCTTCCTTCTACGCACCGCGGTCTAACCAACTGCCCATCACACCCCCAGATTCCGGTTCTGGCTACGCTTACGGCGATATTTACCCTCAGGACCCATATCAGGCGCAACAGAGTTTGAGCCAGCCTCGCCACGAGGGCGCATACGAGTACCCGCAGAGCTACTTGCAGCCAGCAGTCGCACCTGCGCCACCCGCGTATCCATATGCGCAGAGCAACTACCAGCTACCTACTACTCTGCCTTCAATCTCGAGCTACTACGAGCCCATCGGAGCGCCAATCTTACCTCCGTTGCGCATCAACAACGGACTGAACTTCACTGACGACTATCAGCGCCGCCTGCAGCAAGAGCAACAGTCCGCTGCAGCTCGTGAACAGCAGCAACGTCAAGCGGTTAAGGAGGAGAAAGCGACAGGCGGCGTATCTGCAAAGCTCGACTACGACATGGAGCGGATGACGGATTTTGTCACGGATGCGACCATGACAATGTATGCCCTCCACCTGTCCCCTATCTGCGTGGCAGATGTTGACGTGACTCGAAGCTTCCACCACAAGATGCAAAGCCCTCCCTCCTTCCGCAAATGGGTACTCCAAGTCCTCTCTGCGACGAGGCTACCCTCATCGACGATCATGCTCAGCTTGCATTACCTCAATGAACGGGTGGCGCACTTCGGCGAAACGGTGTCGACGAGCGAGAACCAGATCTACCGGCTGTTGGCTGTGTCGCTTATCTTGGGCAGCAAGTTCCTTGATGACAACACTTTCATCAACAGGTCCTGGTCTGATGTCACGGCGATCAAGGTGACCGAGTTGAATCAGCTGGAGGTTAAGTGGCTTCAGCTCATTCACTGGGAGCTTCATGTGGATCCCAATGCGACGAATGGTCTGCAAGCCTGGCTGAACTCCTGGGCTGCGTACCAGGAGAAGGATGTCGACAAGCAGCGACCATCTCGCTTGTCGCCGCTCGATACCAATGTCCATGGACGCGTCTCGAGCCACCGCGATCGATACTCACCATACCCTACTCCGCACAGTGCAACTCCAAGCAGGGTTGGATACGAGACAGCCCACTCGATCGGGTACAGTGTCCCGGCGCCAACACAATACGCCAACACGACGTACGCCTCCGACATGTGGGCAGCTAGCGAGCGGCAGTCAAACATCGATGACTACTACAGGCGCAGCAACCGATACTCCACGGTGCCAGAAGTCAACGACTATGGCCATCAAACCTCGACTGCTCAGGCGCGTCAGTCTACGTACCAATACCCGCAGACCGCGCAAACGTCGTACTACCAGACCCCAACATATGGCTCAGCCTGGGACCAGGGTGCGTGGAACGCGGCTCATCGCTACGATTGCCAATGCTCTGCGTGCGCGTACCAGCAGCACTACCGACCATACGCACCGAGCTACACTCAGACCGTCATGGGTTAGGCCGGATCAAAAGCTCTGCTAAGCAGTAGCATGCTCACTTCATGGCGCCCTACGAGCGTCTAATGACACCACATCCAGCGTTCTAGCACATCAAAATTCCTTGAGGGACGAAAAGTGGGAACCACATCAATCAACTTTTAGCGACCTGCACATACAAAAATGTCATTTTCACGCCTATTGCTTACTTCACGACACACCACACGACTACCAGCTTTGCTTGCGCCACCACAGCAGCGCAAGGCTCGCAGTACAAATAGACATTTAAGTGCTTTTCGATAGACCACGGTGGGGACGGTCTGAATTTCTTGGGACCGAATAGCGTTGCTTCGAATGGGACATGGGATGGAACGGGGAATAGGAATGCGAATCTTCAGCGAATGTTTTTTAGCAAGGCGTTGACGGGAAAGTTGCTTGCTTGCTTTGCATGGCGTTTTCATAACTAAAAGGGGACTGATCATTCACGGATGGACATTGCTTGCTTTGCGCGCGGGACGGCGAGCCGAAAGACACAGGATGGTTCGTCGGAGTTCTTGCTGCTGCGTTGCTTATTAGATGGGGATGAAATGGAGGATCGCTTGCTCCTGCGTAAGCGGGCTGACTTGACGCTTATGATGGCCTGAGGGCAGAGGTAGTGAGACTTTTAATGAGCTGGTTGCTCTTCTTGCTTGATGCGTTATCATCGTTTCACTTGCGTCTGTGCTGTCTCGAAGCCATCGTTGGCCATGACCAGCCTCCTTCCCACCCGTAAATCACAGCACCCCCTTTCCAAGCAAGCCCAACCGGTAGCCACCCCCATCATTCGCCGAACGCCCTCACAACATCAAACAGGATACCCATTCAGTCCCACCCTCAGATGACCCCGCAAGCCACTCTCGCCCTCTGCACCCCATGATGTCTTCCATCGTTGCTCCTCCTTGCGTACTTGCTCGAAAGCCCGCCGACAGTCCTCAGGTAGCTCATCGAGGATATCGTCCGAGATGGAGCTCAGGCCGTTAGGGCCAGAGTTCGGATCCAATATCTCAGAGTCGGGACCAGGGTAGCCGTGGGAGGTAAGCGAAGGAGCAGTGAAGTGAGTGTCGAGGATAGCGAAGTTGCGAGAGATGACGGCCGGGACGGGGTTGAAGATGGCTGAGTCTGCGGATTTTGGTCGGCCATCGACATTCACCTTAGAGCTGCCGTTTGTGGTGTGAGAGTGACCGTTCGTAAGCCTTTGCTGTCTTTGGGTATTGGCTGAGGGTGGTGGGATCTGCTCCCACTTGACGTGCGTCGGCTGCATAATCTGCGGGTAGAACATCATATTTGTGTGAGCATCGTAGATACCATCCAGATTGGCCTTCCGTGCCGCAGTGGCTAACGAGTTGAATCGGCTGAGATTGTCACGTTAGCACTATTCACAATTGTACAGTTTGACGGTCACTCACCTTGCCTCCCTGGCATGCATGAACTGCCAGTTTCCCAACGTAACGCCAGTCTTTCTCTTCCCAGCCGCGCCCGCCTTGCCAGACGCTGCAGCAGCACCAACGGCCTGCGCATGAGCCGCTGCCGCATTCTTGTAAACATCACTCGCGCCGAACCAAGCGACGTATCTATTCCGGTCGTATTCCTGAACGTTCTCCGGGATCCTATCGTCTGGGTCTGCCAGCTCGCCTTCCACATCTCCTCGCTCGCGTGCCTCGGCTACCTTGTAGTCGTCTGTGATTCTTCGTCCGCCGACGATGATCTTCGCGCCAAACTCTCGGTAGACCGATCGAGCGGTCACAACTCCTATGTTGCGGCCTTTGTAACTGCTAGGTAAAACGCCGCGGGCAATGAGATCAAGTTTCTGATCTTCGTCAAGCAAGACCTTCCAGAGTTTAGGGTGCTTGGCGAAGAAAAGATAGGAGTCCCGGAAGCCGCAGCAACGTGCTGGCTCCGTGGAGAGCATGTAGAGCCTGTCCTCCTTGCCCATGACTGTGAAAGTCCGGACACGGTACTCCCTCTCCCCTTG